TTGCTGTGAGGATGGATAGAGGGGACACTGTGAGGGTCAGCCCCTTGGTCTCTGAGGCCCCGTCCTCACTGAGGTTCCACAGCAAAGGGGGCACTGGGCTGGGTGTGGAGGGCCAGTAGGGACGAGCTCTCGGGCTGAGTCTCATCTCAACCCCCATCAGTACAGGCGGGAAGACAGCTGACCATTACAGAACTCTGGGGGACGGCACAGGGAAGCCTTGTTTAGTTTGTTTTGATTTTGTTTTTGCATTATGAGAGCCCAAGTCAACACTTTGTCTTCTCCCATTTTTAAAAATGTTTGCACCATTATTATAGCAAGAAAAGCCACAGAATTTTCTAAATGCAAAATAAAAAGTAGCCTGTGGTCCCACTCCTTAATACAGTGTCATACTCTGCCCACCCCATCCACGCCCAGGGACACTCCCAGGACAGTGGGAACCAACATGAACCGTCTGTGCTACTGGGCGAGGTTAACACTCGGACTTCTGCCCCACAAGGAGCAGCCCCACGTTCTGTGATCAGAGCAGGGGTTGCTGCTCTGGAGGACTGGAAGGAAACTAAAGTGAAAGCTGAACTGGGTAAGTGAAAAGGAGTGGGGCCATTTTACCTCCTTCCTGAGCCCCCTGAGCAACGCTAATGGCCACGTGGAGGGGTCAGCAGGTGCAGACCCGAGAGGGGAACCAGGAACCACGTGACTTCTGTGCTGCTCCTGCTGCTGCTCCTGCCTGGGCTGGGCCTCTGACCCTAAGGTCCCCGCTCAGAGGCAGTACGGCCTGCACTCAGACTCCCTCCGCAGATCTGCACTGTCCGGGGTGGCATCTCCGTTTCACGTCTGACACCGTCCCTCGGCAGTTACTAGAGGCAAGCTCTGTGAGAAGGAGGGTATTACTGAGCACTCTTGACAACCAGCATAGGAGTATAAATTAATGCTTAAATAAAATTTTTGAAGTTTATTCTTTCTGTTTTTGAACTAAACTATTATAAAACTGCTTACCAAGCAATAAAAATTGTAGTCTACGTCATTTCTTATATCACTATAGCAATTTCTGTGTTAGCTGCTTAGTCTGTAGAACGACTTCAGTGGAATGAATTCTGCTCCATGTCGCTGTCGTTAGTGAAGTGAGGTGCCTGTGTTTGCCGTGACCTGACGAGAGCCTCTCAGAGCTCTCAGTGGCGTCCCCGTTACCCTGCCTTTACATGACAGCCTGTCTAACACCAATGGGATCCTCTCTCACTCTGACAGTCACAGCAGAAATATTTTTAACCTTGTAATAGTGGAAATTCTTACACATTTAAAATCTTTATTGGTTACTAAGTTACAAAAATATTTCCTTAAATGTCCTATTTAATCAGTAGGTTTAATTTCATTAATGTAATTAAATGCTAATTTAATTAATTTCATATATGTAGCTTTATACATACTCAGAATTGGTTACATTAAAAACCTACAAGCTCTTTGAATTTTTTACTTATGTTATCAAAATTATAATTGCAGGGGACCAGCAGTTGGCATAATGGCTATTTTGCTGGACTCCCATGTAGTCCACTGTGGTTCGAGTCCTGGACCCAGTGGCTTAAACTCATGCCGGGTGCGTATGTGTGCGTGCCCAAGATCCTGAGAATAAAGGGAGAAGGGATTGTGGCATGGCCATTCCCCTTGGGGGGGGGGTGATTTTTAGCTTTCTGTCTCTCTGTCTCTCTCTGTCTTTCTGGCAAGTGCACGCACCCTATAGCAAAAACCTCTCCAAAAAAATTATAATTGCAATCACATAAGTCATTAAGTAATCCAACTGTTTTTTAATTTATTTTTTAATCCAATTGTTTTATTCTTGAGCTATTGATATTTTTCTTTCAAGTGGTATTATATTAATTAAAAACATGTCATCTGCTCTTTCCTGTTTGTTCTTTTACTTCTATTTATAAGTAATTAATTTTATTTTTATCAAATTAATCCTTCCTTTAACAAGCATACATTTCTTTCTGGTTAGACTAAAGCTATTGGTATTAGTATCTCTGTTATTGTTATTATTGAAGACAAATTTTCTCATTTATTTATTTAATGTGCATTAGAAAATACAAAGTTTATTGCAGAGAATATTTTAAATGACTTATTTCATTCAGATGTTTTCCTTGTCTGTAAAAGTATTTTTAATCAACAAAAAAATGAGAAGCAATTGCTGAGGATAATGGATATAGTAATATCTTTGTCTTGACTGACGTACATGTATTTGTGTTGGAAAAGGAAATGTTGTACTCTGTAAAGACATAATTAAATGTAAATAAATAAGAAAAAATATATTTTCTGTCTCATTCTGACATCAGTAAACTTCAGTGATTTACATAACACCAAACTGAATCATCCAGAAACTTCTCTACAATGTGGCTGATGCCCCAAACGTTCTTGGTGGCACACACTGGCCCTGACAGCGCCCTGCCACCATGTCACATAGAAGCTGTATCCCTGAGCATTGACGAGCACGTGTGACATGTTACTTGAGTTCCTCACATCAACAGACCCCGTCTTTCTTACAAGCCTTTCTTTTAAGCAACTGATTAAAACATGTTTTATACAAGAGCTGACACTGCGTGACAGTGATTTATGGCCTCGATAGTAAGTTCTCCCAAGTGTCGTCTCATTATGGTGGAGCAGGATTTGCACCAGCAGAGCTGTGGATCCGGACCCCGTGGTGTGCGCTGTTGAGAATCTTTTCAAAGCCTCTATTCAGCATGTCAGAGGCTCTTTTCAACCACAGCAAGGTAACCTGTGCACTAGCTTTCAATGTCACTTTTTCAATGTTGATTGCTTTTTTTGTTTTGGAGAGGTTTTTTTTTTTTTTTTTTTTTTTTTTTTTTTTATGGGGGGGGGGCGCCCACCCGCCAGACAGGACAGACAGACAGAGAGAGATAGAGAGACAGAAAGCGAGAAATCACCCTCCAGGGGGGATGGTCACACCGCAATCCCTTCTCCTCCATTCTCCTCTCAGGATCTTGGGCACGCACGCACACGTGCCTGGCATGAGTTTAAGCCACCGGGTCTGGGACTCGAACTGTGGTCGACTACGTGGGAATCCAGCGACATAGCCATTATGCTAACTGCTGGTCCCAATTGCTTTTACCAATACTGAAAATAATTGTTTCAGAAGTTTTCATTATGTCAAATGCTTCACAATACAAAGCTATCATCATGCTGCTCATTTTTCCATGTATTATTTTAACTCTTGTCACTGAATTCTGAGCACTGACACTTCCAGTATTTCTCACAGCAGCTGAGCGTCAGTTGTATCCTGTATTTACATTATGCTCAGTAATAAGCCATCTCTGAGTTTTCTCAGAAATCAGAGATTTTTTAAATATTAGAAGTACAAATAATTGTATCTTTTGAAGTTAGTATTTCACTATAGCAAAGGCATCCCCAGCTGTTATGGTCTCGGTGGTGTCCGAAAGCCCAGGCTGTGGCTCAGGGCCGAGTGCCATTGCTCCTCACTCCCTCTGAGTCAGAGGCCCGAGTCTGTACTGTGTAGCAGCCCTGCTGCAGCTGTGTTCAACTCTGCTGCTCATATCAGTCTTGCGTTTTCTCAGAATTATAAGTTCCTGAATATAAATATCAAAACACTGCACAATTTTTATTCCACAGAAATAACACTGTAAAACAAAGGAACAGCAAATAAATGAGCTAGCTGAGAGTCCTGACCGCAGTGGGGTGAGGACAGGCTGGGTTTCTCTGGTTCTCAGGGTGAGAGCACACAGCCCACTGTGCTGCTTGTCCCGCTCCCCGGGGCTCAGGCTGCCGTGTCAGCTCCTCCCGGTCCCCAGCCTGCCGACCTTCACTGCGGTGTTTGCGCCCGTGAGCCCCACGTCACACGAGGCGATGACTGAAATAACTCTCTGCTCACCCACATCCAATAGGCTGTTTCCCTGAGCTCCTGACACAGCGCCTTCCAGATACCAGGACAGAGCGATCAGCAAGGAGGAAAACTCGCTCTCGTCCGGAAGGTCCTGGAGGACAGGTGGTGAGGGGTGACCCCTGGGAATACTCCGCCTTGGAGGGACACAGGAGACACTGACCCTGCCTGGGTGGAGCGCAAGTGAGGCAAGTCCTTTCTAAGGAAATGACGCTTCGGCAGAGATGTGACAGAGCAGCCGATGGCTGGGTAGATGTTGACGACGAGGGAACAGCAGGGACCTGCAGCCCTGGTGGAAGGACAGATGGGGACAGAAGCAGACCAGGGTGGCAGGACAGGAGAGCTGAGGTTGTCTCTCACATCCGGCACCTCCTTCCACTGCTCCGCCTCCTACACTCATCTGAGGTAGTCACCAGGTCACTTCAGAGGCCCAAGGTGATGGCAGAGCTGGGAGGCCCTGGACCTTGGTGCCTAACGGCTTTATTCTAGAGTTACAGCAGTTAAATCCATGGAGGACATTGGGTCTGCCAGAAACAGGCTGTGGCAGAGTTGGAACAAGGTGACTCTGAGGCCCATGTGCTTCCACAGGGACAGCAGGGTGACCCTGAGAAAGGACACTAAGGGGAGGGGAGGGACCGTCACTGTTGAGATCCTGCAGCAGCATCGCAGGGGCCTGGAGGACAGGGCTACCACGGACAGCTCCCACATCAGGCCCCCACACAAGGGCATTTCTCAACCTTCCAGCCCAAGCCCTTTGAAGAACCACTTCTCCATGGAAACTTTCCTCATCAGGGCCTGGTGCTAGCGTTTTTTATTTCTCTGACTTCCCTCAGTGCATGCTGGGTGGGATTTGAATGTCCTCTCACTGGTGGTTCTATAATTCTCTCTCCACTGTTTTATGATGTGTGCTGTCTCTCCTGTTACACACACACACATGCACACACACACGTGCACACACACACACACTCACGTACGCACACAGACACATACACACACCATGCCCCACGCTGGGCCCTGGGCCCTTCCTGGGCACACACTGCAGCTCACTCCGAACCTTGGCTCCCCCTCAGGCTTCCACTCCCTGCGATATTCCTACTCGGCTGTGTCTGAGCCGGGTCCCAGGGTCCTTGCGTTCTCTGGCTGTGGCTTTGTGGATGACCAGCCCTAATCTGCCATGACAGTGAGGAGACAGATGACGGCAAAGCCTTGTGTTCCCTGGTTTTAATAGGAAAGTGAGGATTTTAATAGGAAGTACACCTCCAGGCCTGAAAGGCAGCAGGTGTGCAGGTGGGCAGCTGCCAGTGGACAAGTGCTCTGGGCATGGGGTTCAGTGTTACATTTATTCTAAGAGGTGATCATGAATATTTAGCAGGGGGAGGTCTGTCCTACTATCTGTCTTCTTTGTCTGAGTTTGTAGGCTTTCTCCTGCCTTAAGTAAGGAAGGCAATGACCTGATCCCACCTGCTCAGTGTGGATTTGCTAGGTACAGCATCCTAATTTGGATGAACTGCCCAATCAGTTTATTGCCCCAGTGGGAATCAGGATATTGACAAAAGCATCTTGTTGGGTCCTTTTGTATTTGTGAGGAATGATAAGAGGGAAGTTTACAACTGTCCCTATGTGTCTCCCTGAGGTAGGAAAATGAGGTCTGCCTGCCTTCCTGTGCCAGGAGCTGGGTGGGAGGAAGGGGTCTCTGCAGAGGACCTGGCTGTAACTCCCGGTACGTCGTGACTGCTGTGACAGGTGTCCTTCTGCTGTTATCTTAGGGCTGCTGCTCATTTCCAGCTAACTGCCTATCACAGCACCAGGTGCCAGTCAGTGAGAAGGTCTGGAGGTGAAAGCCAGACGTCAGTGCTTTAAGAAACCAGAATGATTCCAGCACGCGTTAGGTTGGAAACCACTGCTTTACCGCAGAGCGAGAACTGGGAAGAAGCCTGTGTTGCCGACAGCACGCACCAAAACCGTCTCATGGAGAAATAGACCTCTGGCTTGTATATGCCTGCTGTGTGGAGTCTCGATGACAGTCACTGAGCCTGTACACTGATACAGAGGTGGGCCCCTGTCATAAAGCAGGCTGACTGACTGTGTCACAGAGTCATCTAGTTTCCGTGTTGTTTTTATTGTTAAGCCATTTGTACACAGGAATGAGTTTTTTGAAACACTCTGGTAATACCTACGTAGTACGATGCACTTGAGGTGTGTCGGTGTGATTGCACAAATCGTAGTTAGTTCCTGTATATTGCTGAATCATCTGCTGCATGGATCACCCGTGTTTATTCATCCACCAGTTGAAAGACTTGGTGGAGGAGTCTGACCCAGTAGGGCCCCAGGATCTGTTTTGAGCTTTTGACCTTTAAGTACCACTTAGGTCGGGTTAGCACATTGGCAAGGCCGCTGCTGTGTAAATCCCCCCACCCCCGACCTAGGAATAAAACTTAGGTCGAATTACTAGGTTGGCAAGGCCGCTTGCTATTTGCTCCAGAGACTGTAGTAGCCTTGCTGGGAAGTGACCCCCCTCTGACACCCCAATATACTACTATAAAAGAATTACATAGCTCTCTTTTCTCACACTATCTCTGGTGTCTACAGCTGTTTTCCATTCCCTCTCACCCCCCACACACTTTATTGATCACACAATTTCTAACTACTTTCAACAGCAAGTTCAGCTGGTAATTTCAAGAAATGCAGTTTTAACTTTAATAAATCAAATAAATGCTAAGGAACTTTGCTTAAAACTTAAAGCCATGAAACAGGTTAGGATTCTGTTCAAATAGTAGGTACATGAACCTATTGACAGTTCAAGACAGGACAAAAATCCTTACAACGGAAAACAAAGCCTAGAAGAAAATCAGCAATGGTTTAGTCAAGTCATGAAATGCTATTTCAACAGTTCAGTCTCATGTACTTAATCTATCTTCTGTTGTGGTTCGACCTTCTGGATTAAATTCTGAGATATAATATTCAACTCCGGACTTGCCCCTATGATAAAGTTGGCCATTTTCTTAATTTTTGAACTCTTATTTCTGTGTGTCTGTATTTAATTTTCCTGATATACCACTCGCTTGAGAACTTCTTGAAGATCTGGTCCGGTGTTGGTAAATTCTTTCAGGTTTTGTTTATCTGAGAATGTTCTTATCTTTTCTTCCCATATGAAGGATAATCTTTCCAGGTATAGTATTCTTGGTTGAAATTGCCTTTTCTCTGAACACTTTGAATATATTTTCCCATTCTTTTCTTGCTCACATTGTTTCTGATGAGAGGAGGTCTGCTGTTATTCTGATGGGTTCTTTGTAGGTAACTTGATGTTTTTCTCTTGCCAATCTTAGTATCTTGTCATTGTGGTTTTGGTCAATCTGGCTATAATGTGTCTTGGAAAAGATCTTCTTGAGTTCATTCTATTTTGGGGTCTTTTGTATTTCTTGGGATTGGATCTTTGAATGCCTCTCTAGGTTTGGAAAGTTTTCTCGCAGGATTTCATGGAATAGATTATCAATGACCTTATGAGTCTCTTCATCTTCTGGGATACGAATTATCTGGATGTTTGGACATTTGACAGTATCTATTATTTCTTGTATGTTATTCTCATTTGGGGGGTAACTTTCTCAGTCTTCTTGGCATATTTTTCTAGGCCATCCAGGGCACATTCCCAAGCTAGTCTTTCCCCACCACAGCAGTGTCTCACATGTGATCTCTAAATTGCTGAAAAGCTGTAAGGGTTAGTTTCTAGTAGCTTTTGGATTAGATTACAGTGTTGTATGTGGGACGTAAGTTTGTATTTTAATTTCATTGAATATTTCTTGGAGAAAACCAGCAGTGGAAGGGGTCGCCCTGGCAGTGCTCTGAGCTGTTCTGGAGAGAGCAGGTGAGGGGGAGTGAGCACTCTGTAACAGGAAAGGGTGAGCTGGCGTGGGGGAAATTGGGATGGCTGTGCCTGTTTAACCTGGCTGCAAAGAGAGCCTTCAGGCCCCAGTTCTTGGAATTGGTCTGTTGACCTTCCTCATTTCCTACCTCTTGCTAGTTAAATTGGAGGCTTGAGGACCAGGAGCTTCCAGAGCTTGCAGTCTCTTATGCAGCACAGATTAATTTATCCTTGACGCCTGGTTTGCCTCCTCTTTAGTTTTCGTCAGTGAACCCAGGGTGTGTGGAGTCATCCAGGGAACTGTCCTCTTCTGCTGACCAGCTGCAAGCCTCTCTTCCTCATTGGTCTTCCTGCTTTCAGTCTTGCCATCTCTTAATCCATCTTCTACATTGCTGAAAGAAACATCTAGGGGCCAGCAGATGTGTGCTGGCTTAGGTATTGGACTTCCACTCAGCCAACCACAGTTCAAGTCCCAGACCAGGCAGCCTGAAAAACATGCCAGGTACCTGTGTGTGCATGTGTGCCCAAAAATCCTGAGAGGAGAATGGAGGAGAAGGGATTGGAGCATGGCCATTCCTCCTGGGAGTGTAGGTAGCAGGTGATTTCCCACTTCCCCTTTCACTGTCTCTGTCTGTCTCCAGAAAATGCACATGCCCTATAGCAAAAAAGTTTCAGAAAAACAAAAAATGAAGGGCCAGCAGATGGCATAATGGCTGTCACTACGCTCCCACATGGCCGACTGTAGTTCAAGCCTAAAACCCAGTGGCTTAAAACTCATGCTGGCCATATGTGCATGAGAAGAGAATGGAGGAGAAGGGATTGTGGTGTGGTCATCCCTCCTGGGAGGTGATTTCTCTATTTTCATCTCTCTGTCTCTATGGCAAGCGCACATGCCCTATAGCAAAAATCTCTCTTGAAATCAAAAAGAAATCATATCTAGGCCAAAAATAAGACCCCATAACTGTAGAGTAACAGCCTTCAATAATTGCATTTTGTCAAATCAGTCTCATCATTCAGATTCGAGTGCCACCATTTCCTTTGTCATGGTGATGGCCAAAATTATGATTTTGCACTCATCCCGCTGAATCCACATGTAGATTTAAATTCTTTTTTTTTTTTCTAAGAGATTTTTGCTGTAGGGAATTTTTGCTCACTGGAGAGACAGACAGAGACAGAAAGTGAGAAATCACCCCCTGAGGGGATGGCCATGCTACAATCACTTCTGCATTCTCTTC